AAACTATCAGCCTTTATTTACTTGTTCAAAACCTGCAGAATCTCTGATACTCTAGACGGCTCGGAAGATGAACCAACCTACTCGGAATAAACGGCAGAACTAGCAGATGAGGAGGAGATGGACGACGAATTCCACGCTGACACTAACGACGAACAATAAGCCGTATTTACTACGTGCCGAAAACAACAGACTGCTCCTTTGGAAGCAACCACACATTTAAAGTCAATGACCAACTTAAACTTGTTTTGTTATTTACTTCTGCAAGCAATATCTCCGCTTATAGATGAATATATCTATGTTTCCTTTGAATTAGCTGTTTCAAAAAAATTGTGTTTCGAAAAACACTCGGCTATAAGCCGAGAACCCTTCTCTGGCTCAAATTTTTGAGATTTTGGTGAAGTTTTGTGAAAAAATCACTTGGTTTATAGTCAAATAACTATGGTATATCAGGATGATAACCCTCAGTTGGTTACATGGTTGGTGTGATACCTCTCAAGGTTTTACCAACTCTAATAAATGTAGATGTAGACATTTTCTCTTTCTTCTCATCGTATATCCTTGTCAGTGATTGATAGTACAAGACAAGTTACAAACGGATCACTCCCTGAATATGTTTGTCTTATGAGACATTTTGTTGTGTAGTATCGACGAGTGTTTTTATGAGTTGTGCCATATTTTGACGAGCCCATAGGGCGAGCAAAAATACAAACAAAATGTTTAAGGTTTAATAAGAGATTTATTATCCAACGCTCCAAATTGTTATTTCAGTGCAGGCGAATTTCGCAGATATTTCTGGAGGACAAATATCGCACAATTATTTGTACTCGTCTTGCACATTATTTGTACTCTATGAAGCACATTTGGATAATAAAATATGATAGGAGAGAACTGAACTCATCTTGAGTTGTGATAGACATACATGCGCATACCAACCAAGACTTAAAGTGCTCTAAACAATGCGAACCCTTTACTCCCATGGGTGACTAACACAGAACTTCTCCTTTCAATATCAATACAATATTAAGCAGACAAGTAATGAGAATAAATAAGGCAGCATTTGTTGACCTGATACTAAATTCCCCAAACTAACATTATTAGAATTGTATGGTCAGTTAAGAGAATTATAAGTAAGATTGATGGAGTGAAGGGCTTCACATGTTTTCATTTCTTAAAGCTATCTACTCTAAATGCACCTTAATGTAAGTTTGTGCTAAAAAAAAACCACCCTAGGACTTGAGAAAGGTAGTAAGGTTTTTCCTTATCAATAAAATGTTGAGTAAAATTGTCTTAGTTGTGGAAAACAAAATTTCATCAACAGAATTTTACTTAAATCTTTCTTGTCAGGCTCTGATTGATGGGCCCTGCAGCAATGTCTGTCGCAAAGCTCTTAATTTCAAGCACCTCTCCCTTACTGACTTCAAGATCAAAGTTGGACCCTCTGCTAAGAGTGGCCCAGTGAAGAAGGCCTTTGAGAAAGGAGAGATCCTTGAAAAATGGGAAAAGACAGCCTGGGCCAAGAAACTGGCCACAAAGAAGAAGCGAGCAACTCTCACTGACTTTGATCGCTTTAAGCTCAAGTTAGCCAAGCAGAGGGTAAGCCACCATCAAAATATGAAATGATGTACCCCTCTTTTTTTTTTTTTTTTTTTTAATGAAAATGCCACCTTTAATAACAGGAAGGAGCAGAGTTACTGTTAAGCACCACACCCAATCAGAAGAGTGTGGTGTCTGTTTGGGAATTAACAAATAGATTCTATGTTGCCCTATGTCTGTTCAGCAATAGATCAAAGATGATGTAAAAATGTGATAAGAACAAGAAAGTTGCACACAAGGGGCAGCCTTGATGTCTTCTGTGATCTATTAGTGAGCAGAACCACAACATCATAGAACCTATATGATTTATATGGTAACAGAGCAAAATGTTGTTAATGGTGATATTGTGTATGCGTCTGTCCCTCAAAAGGGTTTAAGTAGTAACCAAGCAAAATGTATGTCTATATTTATGTATTTGCAATATTTAGACAGACTGGCTCAGTTCAGCTCAAAGGTGGTTTAAATGAGGACTCGTACAAACAATAATACTTGAATAATAATTGAAATGATATGGTGTAACTGTTATCAGTGACTTCTTGAAATATGGTTGTTCACCATATTCTCCTTGGAATTTTAAACCTCCTGCTGATATACCCAGTGTTCCTAGGAGGTGTCAAAAAATATCAAACTTTGGCCTTTATGAAAAGCACCTGTAATAACTATTATAAATTGATGGTCATAACATCATTTTCTTTTGTCATTTATTTTGTGTCAGTAATTAAACCAAGACATATGCCACAAATCCAAAATTTATTCAACTAATTTTTCATAAAGGGTTAACCCTTTCTACCGTAACATCAGTATACGTATTCTTCATGCTGTTCCTCGTACAATCCCTAAGATACTGACAAGGAGAATTTGAATTACAATCAAGAGCTCCTTTAGTTGATGATCATTTCCTTTATTCTCGCGACCGTAAGCTGACTCCTGAGGGGTGACATTGTAAGGAGAAATTGCATATTGCAATCTTGTAGTCTTGTCCACAACACTATGTCATCAGGCCACGTGATTGGAAAATTTGGCTGCGCGATTCAAAGACCATTTTTAATAGCAAAAATTGCACAACTTTCAGGCGTTATAAAATCGCCAATTTTTTTCAAACACAGTTCAAACTTTCTGATAGCATCTTAAAAATGTTAAACTTTCAAAATATTAAAAAATTGATTTCGCTTCATATGCACTTTAAAGGGTTCATTTGTTGATATTTTTAGGTTTGGTTTCATCTCCTCATCAGTGGCTAGGATTTTTCTTTGCAACACATTTGTGACAAATGTTCTTGGTCTATAAATGTTTGTGGCTCTTTAAAACAAAGCCAACTTTTCTTTATTGTTAGTGATTGTTAGTTTTTTTTGTGACACCTCCCAAACTTAGAGAATTTGCATGCAGCTGTTAAGATAACTGAAAATAACCAAGGTGCATGTCTCGTGTACCTTCGGGGATGTGAAAATTTCCAATCTTAGAAATTTTTCTTCTAACCCTCTCTATATGTATGGACCCCCTGCTCGCAAAAGTAAGTGGAACAGTTATGTGAGGGCTCAAGGTTGATTATAAACTTTCATGGCTACCCTCCTTACTGTGTTGGGCTTTTTAAGGCTGTTGTACATGCTAACAAAGTGTTTCCTTAAGTAAGGGCTTATAAGGGGGGCTTATAAAGAAATAATCAACTTGTACTGATTCTGCTGTAGTTGAAGCTTAACGAGTTGTAAGTGAACTGACAGTGGAAACAGGTTTTCCTGGTATCCCTTCTATCAAAAACAATGTTGGAGTAGGGGTGCACTTATTCGAGAGGGGTGCTTGTTTTATATTATGGCCAAAGGGGTTGATGTTTTTTCAGGGAAGGGTGCCTTTTTGAGCGTGGTTGCTTATTCAAGGAAATACAGTGATCATGATTTTGAAGTAGTGTCTAATGATAGCTTTTGTTTTGCTTTATAGAAAAACAGAGTGCTTAAAGCTGAACTGAAGAAGTTGCGTAAAGAGGCGAAAGTGTAATCTTGCTTTTAAGATGAAATAAAAATTTTTGTTTGAGAGGATTGGTTCTTCAGTAGTTATTTCTAAAATTAAAGTGAACACTACAAATCCACTTTCTATACATATTCTTTTATTCTGGTAAATTTATTCACTAGTTGGCAAAATACTGCAAAATTTCGCTGAAATGAAATGGTCCACCTACATGGGTATTGCCACATTTTACGTCTTCTGTGATCTATCATCGACCAGACGGATGGCAACATGGAATCTACGTGTCATAAGTACAGAAGCAAGAACTTGTTGATATTAACGTCATCTGTGCGACTATCCTCCAATAGATAATACGATAAAACAATCAAAATGCCTGTATTCAGGTTATGTAATTTCTTAACACAATCTGGTGTCATCTGTTAACTAGACAAACCCAAAAGCGATTAGAATATACTTTTTGAACTGACTTCATTTACATCGATTTATTGTCTCCTCTACTCTTGGACAGGTGGTGGAGTCAGAGTTGATAGCGGTTTACATTCACCTTTGGGGAATACTAGATCTTCCTCTCCATCTCTAAAAATGACAAAAGATTAGAAAAAATAATTACAACAAAGAAATAGCAGCTACAACTCAACGTCAATTGTAGAGAAATCCGCCTGCACCTGATTTCCTCCGTTGAGAACGATTGGGATAAAATTCTTCCTAAAACGTTTTGTACTTAGTTCTTGAGAGTTCTCGGGGCCATCTTAAGAGAAACTCTACCTTGAAAATCCTTCGAAATCAGGGAGGTATTTAGGTCGAATAGCGCCACCCTCTAAGTCCTGCCTTGAGGATAGAACACGGGCTCATTTTCAAAACAACAGCTGATAGTCGAGCCAAGGACGGAGGACTAACTGATCTGAAACAATTTGCTGACCAGCCCTCTTTTAAAGAGTGCCATGTGAAATATTACCTGGCTACAAGCCTGAGTACCAGTTCAACCTTCCGTGAATGATCCACTTTGATTGGTTCCGCCATGGTAAACTGTTGTGTGCTGTGGCCTTGTAAAGTTGTTCCACCTGACCTCCATGCGGGATCCCGTTCGATGACATCGAAGCTACAAGTACCCTCGTTTAGAACTAGCCATGGGAAATGGGAAAAGGGTATTAGCGGCAGATATACCAAGACATATATACATTTTTATTTGGCAAGGCAGTGCTGAGGTGAATCGGAGTTTTCTGATTGGTCTTCTTATTGGTTTACTGTCAAGTCGCCCAAAGGTCATCTCGCTCAAGTCATGTCAACCGAGACTTGAGTCATGTTGCTCGAAATTTGAGTCAAGTCGCCCGAAGAAACAAATACTCAAAAGATCAGACTTCCAAACTGTAAATAGGAAAAAAAGTAGAGAAATCTTTATCGCTAAAATGCTCTTTATTTCCGATAATACCACGAAGAGCCGAAAAGTGTTGTTCGTTTCTTAAGCTTTGTTCGTTTGGTATGTTTTCGTTTCGCACTCACGTACATTTCGTAAGCTTAAGGAACTTAATCTTGGTTGTTTCTAACAACAGCATCGATTATATGATCAGAATTGAAATATGTTTAAGTAACGATTATAAAAGCGTTTTCGTGTCTAACAACAAAGGAAGGCGTTGTTTGTGTCTAAAAACAATAGGAGGCGTTATTCGTTTCTAAACTAACAACGCACTTGGATTCCTTTCTAGAACAAATTTTTTTAATTCTTACCATACGATCGATTTCTGTGTAGCCGAAGTCTTCATGGTATTGTAAGAAACCAAGATAAAGTTTCTCAAATGTACGAAACGTCCTTGAGTACGAAACGGGTACATACCAAACGAACAACGCTTCCTTTTGTTATAGAAACGAACAATACTTCTCTTTGTTGTTAAAAACAAACAACGCTTTTCGAATAGTCACTCAAACATAATTCAATTCTTGATATATGAGGGTTTTAGCGATAAACATTTCTCAACTTTATTGCCTATTTAAAGTCTGTAAGTTGGATATTTAAAGCATTTGTTTCTTCGGTCGACTTGACTTCTTTTTTTTTTTGAGCGACATGACTAAAATTTCGGGCAACATGACTTCGGGCGAGATGACTCTTGGGCGACTTGACCGGTTACCTTCTTGTTTAGTGGGGATTTTGTCCCACAGATTCTTTCCATGGAAACGGCCATAAGCTGTGTATTTAGTTCGTTAAAGCCAGCAATTTAAAAAGAAACAAGTTTGGTTCGGCGCTCAGACCACACTGACAACCTCGGGCTGATATTCGCAATTGAAGTAGGGCCCTCATGCTTGGTTATACGCCGATCAGTTCGAAGCTTCAACATCCCACCCCTCCCCCCCTCTCCATGGGCAACCCGCGGGCATTTGACTGTCATCTGTGCTTAGGGGGGTGGGGAATTTGAACCTTTCATCTACGACTCCCGGTTAGCTCAATGGATAGAGCTGTTGTGCAGGAGGTCGAGGGTTCGAGCCCCGGCCGGACCAACACTCAAGGTCTTAAAATAATTGAGAAGAATATGCTGCCTTTCTATAACATCAAGAAATGGTTTAGATATTCTAGATTCGGATAGGGACGAATAAATGGAGGTCCCGTCTCCTGCAGGGATGGGGTAGGAGACGTTAATTTCTCACACACGAGATTACTGTGTGATGCATGTCCTCCCCGGAGTGGGATGGGTGGGTAAAAAAGGGGTTAGGTGTCAATTGGAACGAAAGTTCTGTTCCTTTCTCCTGCCATTCCCGTGGCGAATTAATTAAACTTAAACTTAAACTTAAACTAAACGTTCATTAGGTTGGTAAAACTGAACATACATCACACCAACTTTCCTGGCTGGGGTGGGGAATTTCATCCGAAGGTGTCAAGTTTTGCCAGCGGAATACACTTTTGTTTTATCCCTTAATAGGTAAAGAGTTTACTTTCGCGAGCCAACAGCTCAGAAGTAGAGATAGTCTGTAGAGCTGGCGTAATTTGGGCGAGCGAGTACTCAGTATTTTCTTAGCGAAATATGGCCGCCATCTTTGATTTTAATAGCAGTGTAAGGCTGGGAAGAGAAAAATTAACTTATTTTGACTGGGCACCTGCTCATTTCCGGAAATGCAGTGACGCGCAATTACTCAGGAGGTGTTTTACTCTTTAACAGCCTCTTGGAGCAGGC